CAGATGAGCCTGTGTTTCAGGGTCCAGCAGGTGGTGCACAAAGATCATCCCCAGCTCCGTGGGCCATTGGTGCTGAGCTGGCTGCATCATCTGACCTGGTCCCTAATTGCGCTCCATGATGTCAGGATATTGCAGAGTCCTCATGTCAACTTTCTGAATTCACTGCATCATGAGGTTCCACCCCCTTCATCTAGAAGGGAAAGAGGTAAAGATTCTAGGCCTGTTCCTCATTGGAGAAGGCATTTGGCCTCACAGGGCAAGAAGGCGCTAAGACTGAGCTCCTAACTAGGTGTCTCTGGTGTGATGTGTGAAGGAAGGAATCACCAAGTAAAATGAAGGAAGACAAAGAGGAAGTAGCTAAATCTGACCCAAGCCTCAAGTCGGTGAAAGAGCCCCTCCTGCGCCATGGGGTTAGCCAACTGGAAACAGTCATAGAATGTCTACACATTCTCTCCAAGGCTCTACTTTCTTCCTTGTCATCCCAGTCTTCTTGGAAGCAGGTCCCTGCCATCCTCCACATGGAGAGGTCGCATCAACAAAGCAAGCTGCTGAGGTCTGTACATGTTCCAGACCCCCCATTACACACATGTAAATATAGGTCCAGCATAAATGCAAAGTTGCACACACACACACATGCTACATTACATACAAGGCAAGTAGGGAGGGAAGGCACCAGCAGTTGTGTGGGAGAAGAGAGAAATGGGGCCTGGGAAAGCTTCATGCAGAAGGTGGGGCCCGAGCTGCATCTGAAAGGAAGATCAGAACTCTGTAAGGGAGGGGAGATAGGAGATGGAGCATGTGGTCTGAAGAACAAGGAGAAAGACAGTGTGGCTGGATCAGCATGTGAAGCCAGAGAGGTATATTGGGGCCAAGCTATGGAGTTAAACAAAAGAATTTCTATTTCATTCTGGACACAGTAGGGAACCACTGCCATATATGGGGTAGGGTGGCAACATGGCGGATCTGTACTTAAGGAAAAACACGTTGGTAGCAGTAGGCAGAATGGCCTGGAGTGAGGACAGACAAGTCAGAGAGACCAGTGGGGAGGGAAGAGGAGGGCCAGAGCCAAGGAGGTAGCTGGTTATGTGACTGGAGAGAAGAGGTCAGGCAGGAGAGGTACTGTGAAGGTAAAAACACAAATATTTGGCAACTCCACCTATGCTGTGTGGGGCAAGGTGAGTGAGGGGCCCAGGCAATGCCAAGACTATGCACTGGGAGGATGGTGGTGCCTCCCACAGAAGGAAGGAGGATTCAGTGGGAAGGTTTGGACATGGTGAATTTGGGGTGTCTTCTCTGCAAGGTTCAAGAAGATCCTGGGGCTGGCTAGATAGATGTGGGAGTCATCTTCAAAGATATGACAGTTAAACCAACAGAAGTTGATGAAGTGAGACCAACAGACAGACCGACATACAATCAATAAATCAATACACATGTGCCAAGTGTCTGCTGTGTGCTAAGTGCCAAGGGGGCAACAAGAGGCAAAAGACAGTCCTGGTCCCCAAAGAGCTTACAATGCAAATATATGCAAAGCCGGTTCTCTACAGGAGCAGCTGCCTTGTTGGTGAGGGTCTTCAAAGGGGAACCGCATCTCTGTGAGGGCTGCAAGAAGTGAAGAGTGTTGGGGAAAGAGGTTCAGGATGAAGGAGAGTGTGTTCGCTATGGCATGGGAATTCCAGAGGGCACAGTGGAAGAGGTGGGCGTGTTAGGACTTGGGCCACGAGGTTTGAGGTTGGGGGAAGGGGGAAAGAGAAAACGTGAGAAAGGGCGCAGGGACGGTTTTCTCCTAAACGGCCGATGACGAATTATTACAGAGGTAACCTGGTGACCAGGAGCTTAGTTTGAAGATTAACGTTACTTCCTCTAGACAAATGATATATAAGGAAGCAGATAGATATGCCTAGTGGGGTACTCCTCTCTGTAAGGAAAGCAGAGTGATAGCCTCTGGCTCCAACTTCCTGCTGCCCCTCCTGGCAGGAATTGTAGAAGGAAGAGATTCTAGTGCTATCTATTCTTGGCTTCGTGTTCATGTTGAGACAACCTCTTGCTACACAGAAAGAGGTAGAGAAACGGGAGAAGGCATAGACATGACAGCGGGTGGTAGATGGGGAGAGAGGCACTCGGTCTCCAAGAGGCATTGCAGAGAGAGCGGGCTGGACTGGAATAGGGTTGAGGGGTGCTGGGTCTCCGAGTTCAGCGAGGCTTGTGGGGCATTGTGATCCAGCTCCGTGCACGTTGTCCTTGATAACATGATGCAAACGTGAGCTGTTTTTATTTTCTTCTTTTGTCCCTCGTGACTAGAGAATCAGACAGAGTAAGCGCATCTAGGGTTAACAGACATCAGCTGACTGAGTGATTTCTCCCCATCTCAGATGTGTTTATAGTACTGTGTCCAGGCCTCTCCTTGGCCCAGGAAGCTTTGCCTTGTACATCTTTACTCAAGTGTCTATCTTGTGTTCTCATCCACACCCATCCTCATTAGAGTAAAAGCTCCTGGAGGGCAAAGTCTGAAACTTCTTGTCTTCTGGTACTGAGCTTCCTCTGGGTACTGAAATTTTGATTAGAGTTGAAGTGACCACCAGGGGACAGCAGAGCACCTGGGAGCCTGGCAGGTGTGACCACCAGAGGTCAGCAGACACAAGAGCTGGAGCAGAGGTGAAATGGAAGGAAGGTTTGGTATTTTAGTTGATGGGAAGAGAACGCGGGAACCCTTGCAGAAGTACCATGTCCCTCTGATTAGCTCACAGCAGCTGAGAGTGCCATCACAGGACAGGAGAATCCCTGGGTTGGGAGGGCCTCTGGTTCAACCCACACGCCACCAAGAACCACCATTCCCTACAACGTCCATCCCCAGCAGTGACCTTCCAGCCTGATCCTGGAGGCCTCTGGGGAGAGGGAGGCCCCCCCTTCCTGAGGAAGGCCAGTCTTCTGGGGACACTGGGGAAACTCCAGCTGACATCAAGCTTGAGGTGGCTTCCTAGTGATGTCCCCCTTTCACTGCTCCTCTTGCCCTCTGGGGCCAAGGACAACAAATCCAATCAGACACTTGAAGACAGCTTTCCTGTTTCCTCTGAGTCTTCTCCAAGCTGAATGTTGCCAGCTTCATTAACCTATTCTCTTGTATCAGGGAGAATGGCCAATGAGAACCCAATTCTTAGAGCATTCATTAATATTCTGTGCCTGGTATCAACATAGGTAGTGGCTCAGTGAGCCTGCCATTGCGCACCCGACTGGGAATCAGCAGGCCCAGCTGTGTGACCCTGAGCCTCAGCTTCTTCATCTATAATATGGGAGTAACATTGCATTTCACAGTGTTGTTTTTTGTGAGGTGTGATTGGCGTGTTTGAATTAAAGGAAGACAGACACTCTGTACTCACAGGAGAGTTGCCCAGTTACAGTTAATGATGTTAAAACAAGCCTGGCCACTTGGTGCCTTTTGTCCTGGTGAGTCCTATTGGCTATGCCAGGTCTACAGACTGAAGGGCCCCGAGGCAGTGGGAAGGCTAAGCAGCCCCCAGCAGACGAGGCTGCCGGAGGAGCCAGGGTCCAGCCCTGGGTGCTCAGGGGCCCCATCAGCCCCTGGGAGAGCCCCTTGGGTGACGTTCCCCTCCTCTCTCTGGGGCCAGGGACAAGTCTGAGTCAGACTGCCCCTGAAGAAAGAGTCAGGCCATTATTTCCACCAAACCACACCTCTTCAAGAGGCACATATGAAGGAAAGACGAGGGCTTATCAAGGGCTGCCAGAGACACTGCGGCCAACGACCTCGCGAGACTCTTGGTCTTCCAAAATCTTCAGTGTTTTTTGTGCCCAAGACCTTGCCTTGTGCCCTTGGCCACACATCCTGATGCACACAAATTCCCCAGGACATCCAATGTAGGGGAACCCCGAGACAGCCACATAGGCAGCAAAGAGCCCCAGAAACCACTGTGGAAGGAATGGGGAGAAGAAAAGGGAAGGGGAGGAGGGAATAAGCATTCATTAAGTGCCTCCTAGGTGCTGGACACTGGGCTACATGCTCTCATTCAACCCTCACAATGGCCCAGGAAGGAGGATGGAGTGCTATTATCCCCATTTTACTGTTGAGGAAACTTCGTGAAGTGACCCATGCAGCGGCAGAAGCAGAATTGGAACTCGGACCTCTCTGCCGTCAGGCCCAGTGAGAAACTCTTCAACAAGTGCTTTTGTGAAGCGCTTCCATGCTAATGATAAAGGTCCCACACAAAAGGGAGCTGAAGGGTTAGAGGCATGGGGAGGAGAGAGGTGCCCAGCTCAGAAACAGGGAGAAGTCCCAAGGAGACACCCGCTGAGGACGGCATCCAGAGGATGGGTAGGCAAGGACAAGTTAAGTGGCCCCTTACTAAGATCGGAACCCAGATCGCCAGCTCCAATTACCAGCAAGACCAGCTATGTACTTTCCAGCACCCCCTCCCCACGCAGACTCACATGCCATATTCATCCTTCCTTCCACACCCTCAGTAACACCTGTATCTTATATTCCCCAGGACATAACCCACCTACACATACCATATACAGCTAAGTAATGATGACCAAACAGGACCCCACCCACCTGGGCCTCAACGACTAGACTCAGGCTCAGAACCCTAGCCCCCAGCTATGCCCTCCCACCTGTGTATTCCAACAGCCGGATGCCGGCAGGCGTCCTGGACCCTCAGCCCACAGAGCTGGCTTAGGGGCCCTCCCTGCCTCACCGTCCTGGGATCCTGCCCAGACTGGGGCTGGGCCTGCTCTGGGCTTGCTGAGCTGTCCCAAAGGCTCTGTCAGCCCATTTTTCCCCTGCCTACCCTCCCCTGCCCAGAAGTGCTTTGGCCAAACCACAGAATAATCCCGTGTCACCAGAGCCCTGAGGGGAAGGTAGGGGGTGGGCGGTCCCATCTACATAAAGGCCAAAGAACCAGCAGCCTGGAATTCCCAGTTCTGGAATCCAGGGCAGGTGAGGGAGCAGCTGGGTGTGACATCCAGGGCTGACCAGTCCTCTCTGCACCATGAAAGGGCCTGCGACCATGACTCTGCTTCTCCTCTCCCTGGCACTTTGCTGGTCTTTGGGTGAGTGTGTCTCCCACAATTCGGGCTGGCGAGAGTGAAGGGCAGTAGGGCTGCTGGCCCAAGGGCAATCGGATGGACCCCTGGACCACAATCATTAGAAGAAGGGGCTGGTGACCCAGGTACCCTGCCCCCCCACACATGGCGGTCACCGAGGTGCAGGGGGGCCGAAGGGTCCAAAGAGTAGGATCTGGGCATGGCAATCTCCTGTATCCAAGGAGGTCCCTTGTTACAACGACCCCCCTTCCCTACCTCCAGGGATGGCTTCAGACAATGAATTTTTCTTGGAGTTTCTCCAGACACTGCTGGTCGGGGGCCTGGAAGACCTCTATGAAGGGCCACTGGCCTCCTATGATATCAATCCTGATTGCAAGGCCGCCATGTCTGAACTCAAGTCATGCATTGATAACCTAGCTCCCATGCACAAGGCTGAATTGGTCAAGCTGCTGGTATGAGTGCCCCTCTTCTCTCCCCCCCCACCTCAGCTCCTCAATCCTCTAGGCCCCAGGCTCCAGGCCCCAGACCTTTAGTGTGGCTCCTGGCCCTGCCTGGACCACAGACCCCAGATTTCTTGCTTCTGTGTCTGCCTGGCTTCCCCCACCCCACCCCAGACCAACAGCTCACCACTGTCTTCTTTGACCAACTCTCTTGGCCTCAGTTTATCCATCTGTAGGAATGGCAGGGGTAAGGTTCTCAGTGACCCTCCCAGGGCCCCACCACAGCAGGTTTGGGTGGGCTTCTCCTCAAATTAGGAAGCATCTCCCCTAACTTCCACATCTGTATTTTAGGTGGCTGTATTGGACAGTCCCGGGGGTGAAGCCTAGGAGCAGTTGAGAAGACCAAGCACGCATTGAAAGACCTCTGCCCTGCCTCTGCCCTGTCCTCCAGGCTGTTACCTGCTCCTATCCTCAGCAGACCTCCTTCCCTTTTTCTTACCCCTCTCCTGATGTCCCTGGGCTATCACCACCTACCTCCATCCCCCTCCAGACAAACCTGTCCCAAACCACTTTGTCAATAAAGTCTCAGTGGGCTGTTCTTGCCTTGTGTCCCCTCTGTCCAGCCTAGCTGTGGAACTGAGGGGTCTGGGGTGGAGGGAGAGAAGGGGATATGTTGTCCCTGCCCCACCCAAGTCTCTTTCTAGAGCCCCAGGGGAAGAGAATGGAAAAAGGGGCGGGCGGGAGACCCCCTCCTCCTCCAGAATAACAGCCCCTCCTACTCTCTAAGGCATCTACACTGAAATCTACCCCCAAACCCATTAACTCTGTCTGAGACCCTCAGGTAGACAGACAAACATGAGGGCACAGCTACCCAGATGGGCATTGTAGACAAGGAAATTGGTGCTGCACTGGGCTCTGCTTCTCCCAGGAGAGAATAGCCCTGGGACAGCTGCTGTTTCAAACTGTGTCCAGGTAGATTTAAGAAAAACTCCCGGACAATGGGATTATAGGGTTTGGGGAGAGCCGGGATCTTGGGCCTAAGGGGCTGGTGGCACAAACCTAAGGGTAGCAACGAATTCTTGAGGCCAGACTCCTGGGTACAAGTCAGCTGCCAACACGCCTAGACCTGGAAGGCCTCAGGGCTCCCAGCTCTGCTCTTTAAGTGAATCACATCACCCTCTGAGCCCCCAAACACACGGGATCCCTGAGCAGTCTCTGAAAAGAAGTTTATGCCGGTAGAATGGGCACGCACAAGCACCCTTCTTGGGCTCCAAAGATCAGAGTTGGGGCGGAGAGGGGGCAGTCAACAGGCAGAAGGAAGCAAAACCCAGGAAGAGACAAATCCCAGAAGGATGAGGAGGAAGGGTTCAAAAGTCCAAAGGAGCAGTCAGGAACACAGGAGTGACCTTAATCAGGAGTCTGGGGGCAACCAAGGCACCTGGAGAACTGAGACAACTCCTGGACTCAGCCTGGGATCTGTGATAAGCCTTCAGGCAAGACGGGAGGCAGTCATTAAGCTAGGCTCCCCATCACTCACTGTCCTGGACAGAGAGGCCCAACCTCCTCAGCTTTCCTGCCTCTGCCTAGCCAACACTCACCAGGAGGAAGGAAGGAATGGGGTGCTTTGGCCTGGGGAGAGCCCAGAAGGTGTCTGGGGCTTCCTATCCTGGGAGCCGAGCTTGGGAACCGAGGCAAGAGCATTTGTCCAAGCTATAGCATGGGGGTCAACACCAGGCTGGCCAAAACAGAGTCCAATAGTTCCAGGGCCAGAGGGCCGAGTCAGGGGGTTTAGAAGGTCCTTGTGGGCAGCTGAAGTTGCCAAGGTGAGGACCAAGATGCCAGTGAAGACTGCACAAGCTGGCCAAAGACAAAGGTTGAAAGATGCCACAACTCTGCCCAGTGGCTACCATCTTACCACCATCCAGTCTTTGCATCCTGGTTCCTTTTTCTCACTGCCTAAATCTTCTCTGGATAGCCACCCTCTTTGCCCCTAAAGCCATTCTGGGCCAGGCTGGGCTGGGGCTAAGCTTGGCTGGGCTAGGTTGGCTAAGCTGAACTGGGCTGTGCTGAACTGTGCTGGGCTGGGCTGGGCTAAGCTGAGATGAGCTGGCTGGGCTGGCCTGGGCTAAGCTGAGATGGGCTGGGCTGGACTGGCTAGGCTAAGCTGGGCTAAGCTAGGCTGAGCTGGGCTGGCCTGGGTTGGGCTGGACTAGACTGGCTAGGCTAAGCTGGGCTGGGCTAGGCTGGCTAAGCTAAACTGGGCTGTGCTGGACTGGGCTGGACTGGGCTGGACTGGGCTGGCTAGGCTAAGCTGGGCTGGGCTAGGCTGGACTGGCTAGGCTAAACTGAGCTAAACTGAGCTGGGCTGGCTGGCTAAACTAGGCTAGGCTGGGCTGGGCTGGCTGGGTTAAGCTGGGCTAGGTTGGGCTGGCCTGGGCTGGGGAAAGATAAGTTCTATTACCTCCCATGTTCTCCTTAGACTCTGCCCTCCCCCTTCCCTCTGTCTACTTGGAGCCTAAGGAGGGGTGAGAAGGTATCATAGGGAGGCTGGCCTTCAGAAAGCTGAGTGCTGCCTGCCCAAGGCCCTCCTTGCCCTGGAGACCCCAGGAACATGGGTGTCAGGAGCTCTCCCCAGGAGGCAATTGTCTCCATCACACAAAGATGGGTTCTAGAACTCAGAAGCATTACCTAGCGCTAGATTGTTGGGAGGTCCCCAGGTGGCCAAGAGGGAGGGGGCTGGATGTCCCAGTTGGTGGATGCTGGCACCTGGGTGTGGCTGCATAATCCCTAACCTTCCCTGGGACCAGAGAGGTGAGGTTTAGCCCCACTGCACACAGCAGCTGCTGGAGAAGAGCTCTCTTCTCCCCAGCTGGAAAAGCTCAGCGTCTTCTGAGGAGGCACAGAGCCAGCCATCAGGATTAGGGTCAGAGTCAGGGTCACGGTCACTGTTAGAGCTGGGACCAGAGGACAACATAGGGAGAGCAGAACAGGACAATACAGGTCCAGCCCCTTCATTCCTGGCTGGTCCGTGCTTGCTACACATTCTTACCTCCGGGTGCTAATGGGTGGCCTTGAGATGGGGTGGGCGGTTCCTCCCTGGGCCTTTTCTGAGCATCCTCTACCCTACAGCTCCAGGGACCCTGGGATCCTGCAGAAGGAGCAGGAGTGACCCCAGCAAGTAGCCCTAAGGCACCACTGGATGACTGGAAAGGTGGGTGGGGTACAGCAGGGGCCCCCAACTTCGGGGCAGAGGTTCCCCCACCCCACAGTCAGCAGTAGGCCAGGCACCTTCTGCTTCTCTCCTTGGGCAGTGGCGGGAGCTGACAGCCCCTAACCAGCACTTGCCCCCCAGCCTCCACAGTGTGCATTGGCTCCCAAATGCCCGGTTTCTAAGCCAGCTGCCCTTCTTTTCATTCTGGCTGGGACACAATAAGAAGGCATGAATGGGGCGTGGCCTGCATCATCATCTCCCCCTTCTCTCACCCCCATAACCAATCTGCAATAACCCTCCTTTTCTTCTTTGGGGCAGGCCCTTCTTGCCTCCAGCCTCCTGGCTGGACAGTACCTCATCATTAACACGATGGTCTGATAGTTTTAGGCTGCTGCTGGAGGCCTCAGTCTCTCTTCAAGCAGCTGTCAAAGCGATGTTGCAGGTGGGATCGTGCCCTCCCCTACTCAGTCAACTCCAGGGCTCCCCATCGCCTCCAGGATCCCACACTACGTCACCTTCCTACTGGAAATGTCCAGGGCATTTTTAGAATTATTCATGCCTCTGGGGGCCCTCTCTGCTCACTACCCAACTTGGGCTAACCACCCTCTGCTTTCTTGTCTCAGGAATCCTACAGAGGACACCATGACTGAAGATATATGGGTGGGCTCCTGGCGGCCCCACCACCCTCGGGGGCCCATCATGGCCCTGTATACCAGCCCAGGCCCCAAGTACATGATCCCAGGAACCACAGGTACCCAGAGGCAGGCTAAGTAGAGGGCGAGGCTGAAGGTCTTTGGGTCATGGGACCCATAGTGGGGAGCGAGCTGGAATGGGGCCAAGTAAGAATCATGGGCAGGAAATTGCATCCCCAAGAGAAGGGCCCATATTTCACAGGCTTCAATCCTTCCAGCCCCTAAGGGAGCCCTGCCATGGGAACACCCCCTCCCAGGCACAGAAGTCTACTCCTCTGCTGTTTAGAATTTAAGAGGTCTTGAAGCAGGAACCCTCCCCACTCCCTGCAAGTCCAGGAGAGTCTCTAAACTCAGCTTTTTGGGGCAAGGTCAAGCTGGGCCATCTCAAGGTCAGGAGGGTCACAGGAGGACTTTAGCGGAGGGGCCACAGGCTAAGTGGGTACAAAGGAGAGTGATTGCAATGCTCTTCCCCCCCCCAACTGGCAGGTTTTGTGAAGCATACCCCAACCAAGCCGAGGGCCCCAGCCTACAGTTTCCATGGGGCCCCCATGGTCCTGGCAGACAACTACTCCCCTGGGCCCCGCTACAGTGTGAATCCCAAGATACTCCGAACGGGCAAGGACATGGGCCCTGCCTACTCTATCCTGGGGCGTTACCAGACCAAGACCGTCACAACGCCAGGCCCTGGTGAGTGACCCACAGGGAGCGGCCAACACTCCAATCAGTCCCCTTCTCTCTCTGCCTTCCCGGCACCCTCACTCCGTCTCTGAGTCAGGATACTTGGGTTCAAGTGCTGGCCCTGACCTTCGCTTCCCTAATTCCTCGGTGCCTTCTTTTGGGGTCTGCAAAGTGCTCAGTGGTCCCTGAGAAAGGCACTTGGCTGCCTCAAGGGGCTACATAAACATGGACCATTTTTCCTCTTCCTCCCTCCTAGGAGAATACTCTCCAGAGAAATCCATCAAATATGTATTCAACTCAGCGCCCAGCCACTCCATCTCTGCCAGGACCAAGTCCTTCCGTGTGGACAGCACCCCGGGTCAGCACGGGAGCCCAGAGGAAGGGACCCTGAATTCTGAGTCAGAGACAGAGCAGTGGGAAGGGAGAAGAGACAAGACAGCGAGGAAGGAGGAGGGCAGGGGGATGGAGAGGAGAGGGGGAGAGGAGGGGAAGGGGAGGGAGAGATAGGAAGGGGGAAGGAACCAGAGATGAAAGGGGAGGGGTCAGAGACAGAGAAGAGAGGAAGGAGGAGGGCAGGGAGACAGAAAGGAGAGCGGGAGGGGAGGAAAGCAAGAGGGAGACAGAGACAAGAGATAAAAAGGGAGGGAAGGGGGAAGGAGACAGAGACAGAAGAGAGATAATATTAGCTAAAATTTATATAGAGCTTGAAGGATTGAAAGGGGCTTTACAAACACTTGGTTTTATCCTGGGAGGTGGATGCTGTTATTAATCCCATTTTACAATTAAGGAAACTGAGGCAGGAAGAGGGGAAGTGCCTTGCCAGGATCACACAGCTAGTCTATGTCTAAGGCCAGATTTGAGCAAAGGTCTTCCTGACTAAAGCTTCAGCACTCTATCCACTTTGCCACCTACCATCAATAGGCACAGACAGACAAGCAGAGAGAGACACAGACACAGATACAGAGGAGCAGAGAAGGACAGAGACTGAGAGACACACACACAGAGATCTTTCCCTGGAGCCCGGGGGGCAGCAGGAATGGTGGGGCCTTAGGCATGGAGAAACAGGAAGGGGGAAAGGAGCTAGGGTTAGGGTTAGTATTAAGGACCTGCTATGTGCTAAGCACTGTGTTAAGTGCTTTCATATAACCCTGAGGACACTGGCCAAGCTTGGGGCTCTCCTAGAGGGGGAGCTCCAGGAAAAAGGACCCTGAAGTTCAAGTAGAAAGTGTCAGCGTGGGCAGGCTTGTGCAGGGAGGGGAAGGAATAGGTGCATTCCTCCCCACCCCTCCCTGTTACTATATAGGGAGGGCACCCTCATCCTCCCATCCCTCAGGCTCCCAACCTAGGAGTCATCCTACACTCCTCACTCTTTCTCTCACCACCCCACCAGATGCAAAGTGGTGCCTGGCTTCTTTTCACCTCTATGCATCTCTTGTAGATTTCACCTCTAAGTATGTCTTGTCAGTTTTACCTCTGAGCGTCTTTCATGCACGCCCCCTTCTCTCCTCAGACATTGCCCCGATCCTGGTGCAGGGCCTCATCCTCTCACCTGAACTGTAATAGCTGCTGGGGGGGGGGGGGGTCCTGCCTGCCTCAAGTCTCTCCCCGCTTTGGTCCATCTCCCATTCAGCCACCAAAGCCATTTTCCTACAATATATATCTGATCACATCACCCCACTACTCAATAAACTCCAGCAGCTCCCAGGACTTCCAGAAGCAAATCCAAAATACTGTTTGGCATCCACAGCCCCTTCATAACCTGCCCCCTCCCACTTTTCCAGTTTTCTTCCACCTTCCTGCCTGATGCACACTCTTCAGTCTAGTGACCCTGGCCTTCGGGTTCTTCCATCTCTCAGCTCCGGGCATTCTCTCTGGCCATCCTTCATGCCTGGCATCCTCGCTGCCTTCTCTGTTCTGCCTCCTCCTCTTTGGCTTCCTTTAGGGCCCAGCTAAACTCCCATCTTTTACTGGAAGCCTTTTCTAACCCCTCTAAATTCAAATGCCTTTGCTCTGTTAATTATTCCCTATTTATTCCATCTGTAGCTTGTTTGTGTATGGTACATGTTGGCTCCCCATTGGATGGTAAGCTTCTTGAGGGCAGGGACTGTCTTTTGCCCCTTTTTGTATTTCTAGCACTTAGTACAGTGTCTGGCACAGAATAGTCACTTAATACATGTCTATCTGATGATGATGAACACACACTGGGCAAGCAGAGTAGGCATTTTCTTTTCATTGCTAAAGCCCATGACCTTGGTCTCAGCCCTCATCCTTCCAGACCTCTCTGTAGCATGTGGGACTTTGGGCCATGGGTCCTCCCTTCCTAAACGTTGTCCTCTCCTCTTCTGCCTGCCTGCCTGCCTACTTTTTGGGACCTACTCAGAATTCTCACCATATCACCAGACTGTATACCAGGAATAAGCAATGAGCTCCCTTCCAGGCTCCCTTCTCTCTACATTGTCTATCTCTGTAGTTGTCACTTTCTGTCTCTCTGTGTCAGTCTGACTGGCTGGTTGACTGGCTGGCTCTCTCCCTCCCTCCCTCTCTCCCTCTCTCCCTCTGTTTTTTCCCTGTCTCCCTCTCCACCTCCAGAGACAATCCCTTCTGCACTGTCTCAGCTCTCTTTGAAAAGAAGTTTTTCCTGATAGCAAGCTAAATCAACTTCTTTAAAACTTACCTTGGAAGGGATTTTGGAGGTCACTGAAACCAATTTGTCTTAGGACAGGAATCCCCCCTTCCGAGGCTCCTGGCTCTGTCCTCCACTCGACAGCCCACCATATACCTGGAGTGAGCTCCCATTGTCCCCCTGAATCTTTTCCAGACTAAACATCCCCACATCTTTATCCATTTTCATGACACAGATTCCACCTCCTTCCCTATCCTGGTCGCCCTCCACTGGAAATGCCAAAGCTGATCAATGCCTTTCTTAAACCAAGATGCCCAAAACGGGAAGTAGGGATCTAGATGTGATCTGAGTTCTATAGTGGGATGAGTGATCACTCCCTTGTTCCTAGACCCTTGGCCTCTTGGCATGGTAGCATTAGTTGTCTGGCCTGCCATATCACTCTGTTGATTCGTATTGAATCAATGAATGAATGAACATATGTGAAGTGAAGTGAACATATGCTGAGCTCTGGAAATACCCATTGAAAAGCAGAGACAGCACCTGCTCACCCTCTAGTGTGTGTGTTGGGGTGGGGGAACAGCACTCAGGGAGTTTCTGCTTCAGGGACAATGAAGAGACTGGAGGTCCTTGGGTATAGGGGCAGGGGCAAAGCAGAAGAGAACATAGCCTCTAAAGAGCCACTTCACTACCAAAAACACCTATTTCTGATAAGGACCCACTTGACAATTCCAAGGACTTTGGGTGAAGGAACTTTCTTTTCTGGGTCCTCAATAGTTGTAGTCACCAAGATGGGGGCTGCAGCCCCTGAGAGGAAACTGCCACCTCACACCGTCACAGGAGTTGGTTCTGGGATGATGGCTAGAAGACTGAGGCTGGGCTAGAACCAGGCTGGTAGTCTTGGAGGTGGGCAAACTGGTATTCCTGGCATTCTTGGGTGCAGGATATTGGGATATAGACTTCATCAAAGTCTAAAGGGAGTTAGTGGCCTGGTGACACTGATGATTTTGTATGTGTTTGTCCTGTACTGCCTTCTCTCTCTCTCTCTCTCTCTCTCTCTCCTTCTCTCTCCTTTCTGTCTCTCCCACTCATGTTCTCCTTTTTTTTAAAGTCAAATTAATCAATGCTTTATCTATTTTTATCAGTTTTTTTCATAAAACCAGCTCCTGGGGGCAGGGCATAGGAGTAATACCAGTGGTCTGGGACAGAGGGAGGATGCTGCATTTCTCCCAAAAACTTACAATCCACCAAATCCCCTACATGAGGCAGATTTTTTTTAAAGCCAAAGGGTAAGGTTTTTCATTTACCACTTCTAGAAATAATCTTTCTACATTTGGCTGGAAGTGTTATCACCCTCCAAGATGTTTTTGAATCCTGACTCTCCTCCGCTGGGTCAACCACCCTGCACAGCCTTGTGTCATTGCAGACTGGATAAGGGGGGAAGCTCAGCCTTTATCCACGTGATTGATACCAGTGGTAAGCAGCACAGGGCCAAGTAAGGATCCCAAGTGAGGGGCACTGCACCAGAGACCCTCTCACAAGTGAACATTGACCCACAAATGACCACAAGTTCTCTCTCCATCTGACTGCACTCCCATCTCTAACCTGTCTAGTGACCCTGTCAAAATAAATGAGATGACGCGAAGCAGGTACAAGTTCTTCTAGCTGTGGTGGGGCCGAATGGCTGCTCCTTTCAGAGTTCTGGACCTAGCCATTTCAGTTAAGTCTTCTCTACCTAGCTCCCTGCCGGGATGTTTCGTTCTGTCCTGATCAGGATGAGCCCTCTCTCCTGGGCAGGGAGAAGAGAAGTAAGGGCCAAGCAGCAGTGACTGGTTCATCTGCCCCTCACCAGGGACCTGGCACCTTGTCGATGCCCTCTTTTCTCCAAGGAGGCTCAGAAGCAAACAGTCACCCAAACTCCAAGCCCGCTGTGTCCTGTGGGGGCCTCAGCCCCTCAAACAGCCTGGCACTTGCTCCCTGCCTGCTGCTTTCTCTGACCTCTGTTCCTCTCACACTGGAAAACTTCTGCTGGCTGGAGACTCATCCGCTTCTTTAGATTGTGGTCCTTTTCGTCTCTGGGATCGCTTCTCTTCCTGTCTCTTAACCCTAAACCCGATGCCTTCTGACAGCCTCTCCTCCTTCACCCCGACTCACACAAAGAGGTAGGTGGCCCTTCTCCTTGCCGAGGCAAAGCCCTCTCTACCTGCACAAGTGATCCCATTCTGTCTCAACCTGTCTTCTCCAGCACCCTGGCCCCTTCACTGTCTCCACTCTCTCACTACTCCTCAGTTTCAAGAACAGATTAATAAAATTGCAAGTAAGAAAACCATCAAACTAATAAATAAAACTAGGAGCTGGTTTTATGAAAAAAAAAACTGATAAAAATAGATAAACCATTGGTTAATTTGATTAAAAAAAAGAAAACCAAATTACCAGTATAAAAAGTGAAAAGGGTGAATTCACCACAAATGAAGATGAAATTAAAGCAATTAGGTGCTATTTTGCCCAATTATATGTAAATAAATCTGACAATCTAAGTGCAATGGGTGAATACTTATAAAAATAAAAATTGCCCAGATTAACAGAAGAGGAAATAGAATATCTAAATAACCACATCTTAGAAAAAGAAATTGAACAAGCCATAAATGAGCCTCCTAAGGGAAAAAAAAAATACCCAGGACCAGATGGATTCACAAGTGAATTCTACCAAACATTTAAAGAACAATTAATTCTAATACTATATAAAACATTTGGAAAAATAGGCAAAGAAGGAGTCCTACTAAACTCATTTTACAACACAAGTAGGGTACTAGTACCTAAACCAGGAAGAGCCAAAACAGAGAAAGAAAACTACAGACCAATTTCCCTAATGAATATTGCTGCAAAAATTTTAAACAAAATACTAGCAAGGAGATTACCACAATATATCACAAGGATTACACATTATGATCATGTGAGATTTTTACCAGGAATGCAGGAAAACCATCAGCATAATTGATCATATCAATAACAAAACCAACAAAAATCATATGATTATCTCAATAAATGCAGAAAAAGCTTTTAAAGAAATACCATACTCATTCCTATTAAAAACACTAGAGAGCATAGGAATAAATGGAGTTTTCCTTAAAATGATAAGTAGCATCTATCTAAAACCATCAGCAAGCATCATCTGCAATGGAAATAAGCTAGAAACCTCCCCAATAAGATCAGGAATGAAGCAAGGATGCCCATATCACTATTATTCAATATGGTACTAAAAATGTAAGTTTTAGCAATAATAGAAGAAAAAGAATTTGAAAGGATTAAAGTAAGCAATAGGGAATCAAAACTATCCCTCTTTCCAAATGATATAATGGTATACTTAGAGAATCAACTAAAAAACTAATTGAAATAATTAACATTAGCAAAGTTGCAGGATATAAAATAAACCCACATAAATCATCAGCATTTCTGTATATTACTAACAAAGTCCAGCAGCAACAGGTAGAAAGGGAAATTCCATTTAAATTAACTGTACACAATATAAAATTCTTGGGAGTCTACCTGCCAAGACAAATCAGGAACTATATGAACACAATTACAAAACACTTTCCACACAAATAAAAATCAGATCTAAACAACTGGAAAAACAGCAAAGGGCAGGCCAAGCCAATATAATAAAAATGACAATTCTACCTTAAGTAATTTACTTATTTGGTGCTATATCAATCAAACTACCAAAAAATCTTTTATAGAGCTAGAAAAATAATTTAAAAATTCATCTGGAAGAACAAAAGGTTAAGAATATCAAGGGAATTAATTTTTAAAAATGTAAGGGAAGATAGTCTAGCCATACCAGACCTCAAAATGTGTTATAAAACAGTAATCATCAAAACAATCTGGACGGGGCAGCTAGGTGGTACAGTGGATAGAGCACTGGCCCTGAAGTCAGGAGGATCTGATTTCAAATCCAACCTCAGACCAAACACTTGATATTTACTAGCTGTGTGACCCTGGGCAAGTCACTTAACCCCAATTGCCGGGGGGGGGGGGAAATAAATAATAAACAATCTGGTGCTGGCTAAGAAATAAAATAGTGAATCAGCACACTAGATTAGGTATACAAGATACACTAGTAAAATGACCATAGCAATCTAGTGTTTGACAAACCTAAAGACCCCAGCTTTTGGGACAACAACTCACCACTTGACAAAAATTGCTGGGAAAACTAGAAAACAGTATAGCAGAAACTAGGTATACACCAACATCTCACACCATTTACCAAGATAAGGTCAAAATGGGCAGATGATTTAGACATAAAGGGTGATACCATAAACAAATTAGGGGAGCATGAAAAAAATTTTACCTGTCAGATCTATGGATAAGGGAAGAATTTATGACCAAACGAGAGAGAGGGCATTACAAGAAAAAAAATGGATTATTATGATTACATTAAATTTAAACAGTTTTGTACAAACAAAACCATTGCAGCCAAGATTAGAAGGAAAGCAGGAAATTGGGGGGTATGGGGGTAGAAAGTTTTACAGAATGTTTCTCTGCCAAAAGCCTCATTTCTCAAATATACAGAGAACTGAGTCAAATCTGTAAGAATACAAATCATTCTCCAATTGATAAATGGTCAAAGGGTATGAACAGTTTTCAGACAAAGAAATCAAAGCTATCTATAGCCATGGGAAAAATGCTCTAAATCACTATTGATTAGAGAGATGCAAATTAAAACACCTCTTAAGATACCACCTTACACCTATCAGATTGGCTAATATGTCAGAAAAGAAAAATGATGAATGTTAGAGGGCTATGGGAAAATTGGGACACTAATGCACTGTTGGTAGAGTTGTGAATGGATCCAACCATTCTGGAGAGCAATTTGGAACTATGCCCAAAGGGCTATAAAACCGTGCATACCTTTTGACCCAGCAATACCACTTCTAGTCTGTATCCCAAAGACATCATAAAAAAGGGAAAAGGACCCACACGTACAAAAATATTTATAGCAGCTCTTTTTGTGATGATAAAGAATTGCCTATTGAGGAGACGTCAATTGAGGAATGACTGAACAAGCTTGTGGAATGTGATTGTGATGGAATATTATTGTGCTATATAAAATGATAAGCAGGATGATTTCAGAAAAACCTGGACTTACATGAATTGATGCAGAGTCCCCTTATCTGAAGCCTCATCCAGGTCATGCCTGCTAACCATACCTGTCCCTCAGGGCTGTCCTAGGTCCTCTCCTCTGGGCCCTCTTCACTGCTTCACTGGGTGATCCCATCAGCTCCCAATAACTTAATGACCATCTCCATGCTATGACTCTCAAATCTACTTATCCATCTCTGTTGACCTCCAACCTCACATCTCCAATTATCTATTGGACATCCTCTTGACGACTTAAATTGTCGTCTTCTAAAACTCAACATTTTGTCCCCAAACTCTCCTCTCTTCCTCCCTTCCCTATCACTGTCAAGGGCAGCCCCATCCTGCCAGGCCCTCAGGCTCCCAACATAGGAGTCATCCTTGATCTCTCACTGCCACCCCCTCATCTGTTGCCAAGTCCTGTCAATTTTACCTTTGTAATATCTCTCAAATACGCCCCCTTCTTTCCTCTGATGCTGCCATTACCCCAGTGCAAATCCTCATCTCCTCGGGATATTGTCATAATAGCCTGTGAGCTGTTCCCTCCCCACTCCAGTCCATCCTCTATTCAGCTGCATAAAGTGCAGGTCCAACCTCGTCATCCCCTCCTCAATAACTCCAGTGGCTCTCCATCACCCCCAGGATCAAAGCCCTTTATCACCAATTCCCCCCCCCCACACACACACACACATAGCTTTCTAGTCTCTTACACCTCATGCCACCTGCTTCCTCCACATATTATTGGATCCAGTGACACTGGCCCTCCTGGCTCACTGTTCCTCAAACAAGGTGGTCCATCTCTGGACTCCAGGCATCTTCTTTGACTGCCTTCCCCCCTCCCCCAGCTGGAATGCTCTCCTCATCTCCACTTCCCGGCTTCCTTCCAGTCCACCTTCTACAGGAAGCCTTTCCTGATCCCCCTTATTTCTACAGCATGCCTTCTGTTGATTATCTCCAATTTGTACCACTTGCATGTTGTCTCCCCCATTAGACTGGAAGCTCCTGGAGGGTAGGGACTGTCTTTTGCCTCTTTGTATCCCCAGTGCCTAGCTGAGTGCCTAGCAAATGGTAGGCACTTAATTCTTGTTTGTTGACTGACTGACTTCAGTAGTTTACTCTTGATTCCTTCCCATTCCTCTTAGACTGCCCTACCCATAGAATTTTAAGGCTTTCTCCAAAATTCTCCCCCAAGATTCAGAGTGCATGGCAGACCATGCTTAGCTCTCCTCTCTTCCTGATCACAAACTCTGTGGACAACAATCAGATACTGCATTTCTCCTCATGGGCTCCTCCACTTCTTTAGGAGTTAAAAGCAAGGCATCAGTCACAAAGGCTGATGTTCGTGTGCGGTGAAAGTTCTTTTCAGAGAAGTTTCAGTTGAGTGATGTGGACAGTGGCCTGATGAGGGAGTGAGGAAGGAGCTGCTGTCTGAAGAGCTGGGGGCGGGGGGGGGAAGGAGAGACAGTACCTCAGAGAACACTAGGAGATGGCTCTAGAATGGGGACACTTGAGCCTGTCTGTATTCAGATAGGCCAGTATTTGATCTGCCCTCCTCCAGGTCCAGCGGCATACATGCTGCCAATGGTGATGGGGCCGCACACCGTGGGCAAAGTCTCCCAGCCCTCCTTCTCCATCAAGGGCCGGAGCAAGCTGGGGGGATTCAGCCAGGACCTTCACAAGGCAAGTGGTCCCCTCAGAGTTCCTCCCCAGCATCCTTTGGATCCCCTGACAAGGGCTCAGCAGGCCCAAATGTCACTCCCCTCACTTCCCAGTAACCCACATCAGGGCAAGTGGGATACGGTCACAGTGACAGGGGAACCTCTCTGTCCACACACCCACACTCACACCCACACGCACACACATACACACACACCCCAGCAGTACTTTGGTATCTTAAACCCTCCTCCAGTCATTTCAGGGAAGTCACCATGAGCCTCACAGCCCCGACAGAGACAGGCCCAGGGGCCCATGGTCATCTCCTGGGCTGCTGTCCAGAGCACAGCTCCCCAGACAGAGGGCAACTGTGCTTGGGCTGCCAATTCCTTTGGGTTCTGTCTTTTTGTACAGACTCCAGGCCCTGCTGCCTACCGACAGACTGATATCCAGGTGGTGAAGTACAAGGCCCCACAGTATACCATGGCTGCCCGAATTACAGCGGTAGGAGATAAGACGACGAAGCCAGGCCCAGGTGCTCACAGCCCAGAGAAGGTGTGGGGGCTGGGCTGGGCATGGGCAGGGTTGGCAGGCTGGGATGGTGTTGGGAAGAAGAGCTGGGACCTCACAATCCAGGACCTCTTTCTCTCTCCTCCCAGGTGACCATGAACAAACCCAGGGCCCCTTTCCTCAGTTTCGGAATCAAGCATTCGGACTACATGACTCCTCTCATCCTGGATGTGGAGTAAACCCTTCCCCATGCCTGGGAGTAAGGTGCTCTGGCCGCCTCCCAGGCTTCATCATGATCCTTCTCACAACAAATTTGCCTTTTATCTGAGGGAGACCCTCTGCAGGTGATCAGAGAGCTCTCCTTTCAATCAAGTGACAGTTTTGGCCATGCTGGGCACCCTGGGACAGGGCCACACGTGCTCAGAAACTGTGAATGTCATTTATTTTTTTCTATGACGGAGTTTATGTTTAGTAGTCGTTTCCTGCTGTGCCTGGATGTTTAATAAATCACCCATTCTATCCGACCTGGGGGCCCAGTGTGCTGACACGAAAAGGAGGGTTCCTTGGTAGGTTTCACCTGCCAGAACCTTTGCCTCCGGTCTGAGAGGGATCGAAGGGCAGGGCACCCTGACCAACCTGCTGGACCCCAAGATGATTCAGGTATCCCTAGATGCTGCTCCCAGAGAGAGGAGGAAGCCTCACTGAGGGCCTACGCCCAGACATAGCTCTGGATTGACACAGTGCAAGGGAAGCCAAGAGTTGGTTGGGGTGTGAACCATCCCTCCCTTCTCTTCGGCCCTCATGCAAAACCCCTGGAGAGTCCTCGAAAGAGATCCCACAGATCCAGAGGTGGAAGGAGCCCAGCCCAGGATGAGTGCTCTAAGCCTGCCGCACCCCCCCTCCCTCTGGCCCCAGAACTGGTGCATGTTTAGGGTTAGAGTTTGAAGACCTCCACTAGCAGAGAGGAGCCCCCTTCCCCTGAGGCCACTCCGACCTTTTGTATGCTCAAGTCCTCAAGCTTTTTCCTTGGATTAAACTGGGATCTGTCTCTCACTCCTAGTTCTAGCCTTTAGGGTAAGGCAGAGAGAGCCAACTTCCTCTTTCACAGGGCAGGCTCGCCCGGAGTTTTTGGCCTTCCGGGCCGAGTCCCCCGAGCAATCAATCACAACAGTCTCGTCAGATAATTCCCATTCCCCTGACCCTCTTATCAAAATTGTTTATAGCTTCAAAATTTTCACAGAACCTTAAGGCAGTTCAGAGGCTACTGAGTCAAGCCCGTACACAAAGGGAACAGCAGCTATAAACACCTTAACATACCTCCAAAGTCAAAGGCCTCCAATGAGGAACCTACTCTTAAGGCTGTGCTGAACCCTTTGAAATCTGTTCTCCACAAATCAAGGGTACACATCGGTCTCTTCCTACCTTTCCTTTACCCCAAACTCAGATGGCCACTCCTACGTCAAAACTTCCACCATTTCCACCTGAGCCACCAGTTCCTCCTTCTTGGTAAGTCAGACCCAGATTAGAATTTCACTGCCTAGGCTCCTTTCAAAGGAAAAAAAATTTTCTCTGTTGACAAAGAGCTCCAGAAAGTGTCTGGATCTTTGAAGCCCCACTCCCCCCATCACTACCATCTCAGCACCTAAAAATGATCAGAGCATGGCCCTCACCAACTTTTCTGGACTGACTCGACTTTATCCGTCTCACAAATCCAGGTGCCAGCCCAAGTGGTCAAATTATTGCTCCAACTCCTTAGAAGTCATTCCACCATCTGCCCGTCTTTGCACTGGCTATCTCCTGCCCCCTCGAGTAGTCTCTGTCTTCAGTCCCATGTTTTGGGACTCCTAGCTTTCTTCAAGGCTCATCCTCAACGCTACTTACTCCCTGGGAATTACTGGACACAGATTTGATATTTGCACACGGGTACACGTAATTTCTCCCCAGTAGAATGTAAACCCCTCGAGGGCTGATAGTGGTTTGTTTTTTTTTTAATCCCTTTTGCAGAGTATGCTGTAGGCACAAAATAAACGCCTGTTGAATTGCCTGTGCAAGGTTTGCAATTGGTATACCTGGTTTTTTTGTTCTGACGGTATACCATACCCTCACCTGTTTATCTCCTCAATCCATGTTACTAAAATCATTCCTTCCCCCACCCCCCATCACACACACATACACCACACATGCACACTTGAACCATCTGGGGCCTCTCCAATAAGAAACATCTCTCTAGAGCTATGGTCCAGTAATTCCTGACAGTGGCTGTCTGATCTCACCCAAGTCCTGACTGGCTTTAAGTCCTAACCCAGAGGAGCTACAGGAAGGCACTGAAGTTTCTCCCAGCATAGTACTGAAATCCTTCCTAGACACAATTCCATTTCTGTGGGAGCAGCCTTTTCAGTGAGAATGACATGGGATGTGTGCTGGCCTTTTCTTCCCAGTGAAACCTTCAAAATCTCAGGACCACAGGTCAACCTTGGGAGATCCCACTCCCTCTTCTCTCCACACTCCTCCGCATCCTGCTTTTAAAACTAATGTGGTCTTCTCATTGCCTGAGCCTTCATCCTCCAGGGCCAGCCTCCTTGCAAACGAGGTGCTGGGCATCACAGGAAAATTGGGAATCACTGCAGTTAGTTGTACGAATGCCAAGCAAAGAGACCAAAAGGGCCTGCCTAGGAGCCAGGTGCTCTGGTCCAGGGCTTTGTAGCCTGCTGGTACTCAGACAGCATGAAAGGCCTGGCTGGGCATCTGGGCATTCTCTCTGGCTGTCCCCCATGCCTGCAACACTCTCCCTCCTGTGCTCTGACTACTGACTTTCCTGACTTCAAAATCCCACCTTCTACAGTCTTCCTCAACCCCTCTTCATTCCAGTGCCTTCCCTCTGTTAATTATTTCCTACTTAACGTTTTGTATGATTTCACATGTACAATGGGTATCATATTGCTTGCCTTCTCAGAGGGTGGGGGAGGTGCTGGAGGGAGAGAATTTGAAATTCAGAATTTTTAAAACGTTAAAAAACAGATTTCCTATTTAACCCGTTTACAGCTTGCTTTGCATCTATTTGCTTGCATGCTCCTTGAAGACAGGGGCTGTCTTTTGCCTCTTGGCACCTAGGCCATCACGTCGGTCCCAATCTCTGGGCCAGAACAGGCCAGCGTCCCCACCAGAGCTCACTTTTCTTGGGCTCTACGGGAGACCGATACAACGATTGGCACAGTTGTACAGATGCAGACAACTCCACCCTTCAAGCCCGGATCCTGCCTTCTTTGAAGAGGTGGGGGCGATGGGGGCCGTGGGGCTGGCTGGTTTTGACCGGCTTATCCCTTTTTTATTCTCGACAACGAGGGAAGGGAGAGACACTCAGAAACGAAGCTGATACAAAAATACTATCTGGGAACGGGGCCTCCCTGCTGCACGCGGTCATCCCTCCACCAGGTAGCAGCCCGGGAGTCACCGGGAGCGGGACCCACTCATGTCCGTGCTTTCGACACCAGGTAGGAAAGGAAGAAGAACAGGATGATAAGTCCCACGGACACGCAGAGGAGCAGCCGCCGGTTGTCCCGGCCCGAGCGGGTCATGCTGGAGAATCGCTTCACGCTCCCGGTCAGCAGGCTGCTCACGCTCGAGAAGTCCGAGTCCTGAGACACAGTGAGGGGAGGGGGGGGTGTGAGGGGCCGGCGTGGGCGCGCGCACAGCTGGCCCCGCCCCCTCCCGCGCGCACGCGCGCCCCTCACCATGCCGTCCAGGTAGCGGTTCTGCTCCTCTGCGTCCCGGTCCATGTCCAAGGCCAGCTGGGGAGGGAGGGGCAGAGCGGAGGTTCAGACGGCGCTGCCCCTCCCCCCTCCCCACCCCCAACCCCCCCACCCCCCCCCCGCCGCCCCGCGGACACGCACGGCCTTGAGGCGCGTGACCTTGGCCGCCAGCCCGTCAGTCAGGCGCTGGTTCTCGCCGTCCAGGAGCGTGTCCGTGTCCGTGTCCGCGGCGGCGGCGGCGGCGGCGGCGGCGCCCCCCGGGCCTGGGCCTGCGCGGAGGGGGAGGGGACAGAGTTCAGGGGGTGGAGAGGGGGGCCTCGGCCCCGCCCCCTTCACCCACCCCAACCCCTCCCCTCCCCCCAGCGCCGCCCCCGCCTCACCCCGGGCCCAGCTCGCCATGGCCGCCACCTCCCGGTACCGCCGGAGTCGGAAGCAGCGAGAGGCGCGTTCGGTGACGTAAGGTGACTATGCGCGTGCGTGCACGGCGAGAGCCGACTTCCGGCCCCGCCCCTTCGCTTCCGTCCCGCTGTGTGCCGTGAGCCCCGAGGCGGGGCCTTGACGCGGCCTCCTCCCAGACCTGTGTGGGGGCGGAGGTCAAGTTCAATGTCAGGGCCAGGCCTGGCGTCCTCCTTGGGCCAAGGCTGGATCTGGAGGGAAGCGTCACCTGCCTCCCTTCGGGCGGACGCCCTTTCCTAACCCCGCGCCCCCATCCGGTTTGACCCTGTAAATACGTATGAAGCGCCTACTGTGTGCCAGGCACAGTGCTGAGCGCTGGGGCTACGAGGACAGGCCCTGCCCTCAGGGAGCTTCCAGGCTATTGGGGAGACGACGAGCAAAAGCTAAACACAAGGGCAATAGATAATTAAGAGAGGGCAGGAAGGCCCTGGAGGGGTTGCGGAAGACCTCTTCGTATGGAAAGGGCTTGCAGGAGGGCTGGGAGCCTCCCCTCCCCCCAAGTTATGCGAGCCAGACACGCATGCGCCCCACTACCGCTACTCAGATCTAGGACTCTCCCCCTTCTTGCCTCAGTAACTTCAGCGCCTGCTGCAGAATCTCTCCTCCCAAATGCCATCCTCAAAGCAGGGCATTCCCCTCTCTGCAACTGACACCCCCACCCCGCGTTTCCTTCCCACGACCCGCTCCTCCCCCCACCTCGGCCATGCCCAGGGATGGTCCTCTTCTTGATGGTGCCATCCACCCATAAATGCGCCACTTCCGCATCGAAGAATCCTGGAGTCCCCTTATCTGACCAGAATCACTTTCATTCCAACCCTAACCCTTTGCAGGACCCTCCTCCAACCATCACCCTCTAACCCTGGCTGCCCCTCAGGCTCTGTCCTGGGCCCTCTGCTCTTCTTCCATTTACTTTGCTGGGTGATCTAACCAGCGCCCATGGATTGGTGCCCATCCCTACGCTACAGATTCTGATGAACGGGGGTGTCCCAAAAGTCTCTTGGCGCAGCTTTACTTTGGAACTGTGCAAACCTCTTGGAGCTGACATTCGGGAGGCAGGCCTTCGGTTCTGATCGGCAGGTCACAGACCAAGTCGAACACATCACAGAGGCCACTGAAGACGGGGAGCCAGACATGAAGAAACATTCATGCTGGTGTTCCATGTTGTCCCTCCGTATTTATTGGATGACGGCTTCCGCTCATTGGCTTCGGTTCTACCAACACGTTCGGTGTTGCCCCATGTGGTGAGGCAGCAAGATGAGGGAAGCAGAACAGCACCAACAGGGGAACTCCCGCTGCCCCAAGAGGGTCCCTTTGGGAGAACCCCCGGGACGGCTGCCGCTTTGGCCTGTTCTTTCCTCTCCCAACCTTGTCTTACCGGCTGTGCTCAGAGCACTAGCTTAGCCTGATAAATCACATCCTCTGCAGCACCCCCAGTCAGCCCCTGGATCCCAGCTTCTTGAGGAAGATGCCTCCAGTAAACTCATCATGGGGCATCACTGGTGCCCTTGGCCACTTTGATTGGCACAAACTCCCCCACTTAAGGAGGGGAACAAGCCTGACATCTCCCCGAACATCGCCTCATTTCCAGCCTGGCTGCACTCTTTAGGGATTCCTTTGCCTTTTCCACAGGCCCCCACACTTGGTATTTCACACACACACCCCCTTTTCAGCTTTCTTTTGTGTGGAGTCTTCCTGTTAGATTGTAAGCTCCTTGAGGGCAGGGACTATCAGTTCGAATTTGTATCCCCAGAGCTGAGCACAGTGCCAAGCACTTAGTAGGTGCTTAATAAATGTTTATTGACTATTGATTGACCAAGCTTCCACATAAGATCTTGAATTCATGGCTCTGATGAAGGAAGAGGTGGGGTGGGCCACAGGGCTGAAAAGAGGGCTGGTAAGGATGAAGCTGGAGCCCCTGGGCTCCAGGAACCCCTGCCCTGGGTCCTGTTCCATCTCCACTGCCTCTCAGAGGGCATCCTGTGAGAGAAAATGAAGGTTGAGAAGGGAATGAGGCCTGGACTCAAGTCCTCCCTCCACTCCCCACCCACTGCCTGGCACCTGCTGTTCCCCTTGAAGAGAGGGGTGATGCTGAAGGTACCCAGGGCCCATTCCCCAGCCGGGCAGCCTGACCATGGTCACCCTCTGACTGTGCACTCATCTCATGAATGATCTCGTGTCTGCCACCTAACTAACCTCTGTGTGAGAGAGACATTTGGTGTTCACAGAGAATCTAAGGGGAACACGGGAACTGCTTTTCAATTCAAGTGGGGAAGAAGTGATTGTATTCACTCTGGGAAGAGAGACAGGGAGAGAGACAGAGAGAGACACAGATATGGGGAAAGGGGGAGGGAAAGTGAGGGGGAAGGGGAGGAAGAGGGGATAAAGGACACAGACAAAAGAGGAAGACAGAGGGAAGAGTTAGAGAGGCTAAGAAGGGGGAGAGAGAGGGAGGGAGAAAAAGAGAAGAGAGAGAGGACAAAGGAGAAAGGGGGGTGGAGTGGGTGAGAAAGAGGGGGGAAGGAGGCAGGGAGGGAGGGGGAGAGAGCAGCAAGCAGAGGTGGCTTTCACATCTGTCCCGCCTTTTCCTGCCTCACTTAGAGCTGTGCAGCCTCGAAAGTCTGCGCTGCTGAAAGCACGAGTGTGGCCAGGCACTCCTCCCAGCCTCTGACTCTCATGGTGTCACTGCTGTGGCTGGCATCAGGTTCTCCACCCCTGCCATGGGCCGGTGCCTCCAAGCCTGAGTGCCCAGGAAGGCATCCCTATCCCCAGGCAGTGTGGGGTGCTTCCTCCTGTACACCCTCCTCAGTTCCCACATTGCGCCCCTCCCCACCTCCCCAGAGGTGGTTTTCCATTTCCCATCTAAATCCCCAGGGAAGTCGAGGGCAGTTGGTCTACTGTCCTCCATACTGACAGCCACAGCCAGCAGCATCAGGCCAGACCCAAATACAGGGGTCAGCCTAATACCCCTCAGAAGCCAGAGTCTGAATGAAAAGACAAAAACTTATATATTAGGGGCAGCTAAAGGGCACTAGAGGGGTCTGAAGTCAAGGAGTCCTGAGTTCAAATGCAGCTGAAATCACTTCAGGGCTGTCTGCCTCAGTTTCCTCATCTGTAAGATGGGGATCATAACAGCCACCTCCTTCTTGGGGATGTTGTGAGGATCAAACGAGACAGTGACTGTAAACTGTTCAGCACACCATAGGTGCTATATACATGTTAGCTCTTATCTTTATTTTTAACGATCATTTGTTATTTCGCCTCCAACCATGCCTAGGAGAGGGCCCGCACATGCACCCATTCTACAGGCCTCTCCTACCTTGTCAGTCTCTCTTTGGATGAGGTCTTCTATTTCCTTGGTCCAGCCCAGGGCCTTCACCAGCGTCTCCACCCCACTGATGATATCTCCCAGCTGGGCCACATCATTATCACGAGGCTGCCAGGCAAACGGTCCCACCAGCTCACGATTGATCAGCACTCGAGGGACGGACCTCCTGGATGCTTGGCACAGGCTAGCAAAAGGCTCCACCTAAAACAGTGGCCACAGTCCCACATCACTGGGCCATCTCTCAGAAGCCCCCAAAGCCCTGGGAGCTGCTATCCAGAGACCCCTTCCCCATCTAGCATCACAGAGCTAGAAAGCGACTGAGGCACCTCAACCAACCATGTCCCTGAAAGTCTCCAACCAGAGATCTGACTTCTCCTCACACACCTCCAAGAATGGGGCACTCACCCCTTTTTCAACTCCTCTTGTTGGGAAGTTTCTCCTTGGATGGGCTGAAATATGACTCCCTGGGGCTCCTGGTTCTGTGCTGGGGTGGGGGTGGGGGGCGGGAAGGGAAGGCAGGGTCTGTTTCCCTCAATACTTCTCTTCTCTAGGACAAACAAACCCTATTCCTTCCAATGAGTCGCCTCTTATTCTGTAAGCCTGTGAACTCCTTGACCAAAGAGGCCATTCTTCATTTCCCCTCATTTAATAAATGCTGGTTTAACTGAATTGTGAGTGAGACAAAAACAAAGAAAAAAGAGACAAAACCCATGTCTGCTTTCATGGGAAGACTCTGTTTGACTTGACTCTGCTGACATGACTCAGGAACTGGGGGGCAGGGGGAAGGGGGGGAATGTGAAGGGAAAGGGGGGGTTGGAGGGGCTCTGGGGAAATCCCTCTGAAAGGGAGTGGGGGGAGGATAGCCTGCCCCCAGATGCTCTCCATCAGCCACCGAAGGATTCTTCCTAACAACCCCCATGGCTCCCTATGGCCTCGCAGATCACCTTTCCTGGCCCATGCCCACCAGACCCTGATACTCAAGCCTTCCCTCTATCTGATGTATGGTTCCCCTCTTGGAATGTGAGCTCCCTGAGGACAAGGCCTGGGTTTGTCATTCTCTGTATCCCCAGACAGTGCCTGGCACACTGCGGGTGTTTAATAAATGCAGGTTGACTGACTGACTGAAAGGAAGTAGTAAGTCCAGTGAAAAGGCCAAGATCTGATCTAGGGAGGTGGTGAGAGAATGAGGAAGGCTCCTCCCAAACTAGCCACCCCTCCCAGGCCCCATTTTGGCTGGTCCAAACCTTCTCTTCTTCCTCACCCTCTCACTTGACCAAGGCCATTCACCATAGGCTCTTTGTCTCCTTTCACCTTGTACCCCTTGACTTGTCCAGGGGCCTCCCACCCTCCTCCCCAGGGTCAACCCTTCTTCCTGGACTCAATCTCACCTCCACCCCTTCTTCAATCTCTCAGGGTCTCCTGGCTCTTTCACCAATGGCAGCAAAAACACCTAGGTTTCCCCAACTTTGAAAAGCTCTCACTAGGTCAGTTCAATTTGTTAAACTATTTTCTGGGCTTCCCTGTTCTAAGTGACACCTGTTTGGAGGTGGGGGAAGGGGGATGTGTTGGGAAATGCAGGTGATGTGCCAACAAAATCCCTCCCTGGCCTCCACCACCCCATGTACTTCCTTCCTCAGTCCCAGGAAAACTTGTCTACATCTGGTATCTCACCGCTGGCCTTCAAACTGCCCCTTCCAAAGAGACCAAGGAACTGCCAAAACCGGCCCCGCCTGCCTCCTTCTCCTGGCCCAGACCCTCCCCTCCCACACAACTGGCCTCTCTCCTGCTCTTCCTCCTCTTTCTCCTTGGCTGGATCCTCCCCCAGGTCCTGCTCCCTACCTGCCCAGGGCCTTCTCCTCTCTCTCCACTCTCACTTGGTGACCTCATCAGCTCCCATAGGCTTGTAACCTTTATGCAGATGACTCCCAAACTGCCCTGGACATCTCTAACTGTATGTCATCCACTTTCTCCACCCATCCCCCTTTCTGTCCAAGTGTCCACAGTCTATCCAGAGCATCCCAGCCACCCAGTGTCTCCACAGCATCACTTTTCATGCCCTTGGCCATCCTTCTAATTCACCTGGCCTCCTGGCAGTCCATCTCTCAGCTCCAAGCATTCTCTCTGGCCGTCCTCCAGGCCTGGAATGTTTTCCCTGGCTTCCTCTAAGTCCCAGCTAAAATCCTACTTCTACTCGAAACCCTCCCCCACCCCTCTGAAGGGCAGGATCTTTCCTTCCTTTTTATCCTGCCCATATAAATGTGCTTTGTTTATTTGTTTGCAGGTTGCCTCACCAAGTAAACTGGGAGATCCTGGAAGGCAGGGACTGTCTTGTGCCCCTCTGCCTGGCACACAGCAGACACTTATTACATACTGATCTGTACACGTAGACATAGACACTCGTCCAACAACACTCAGAAGACTCCCTCCCTTCTCTCTGTGGAAGTGGGCAGGTCTCAACCTGATTCTTAGGTCCTACCTCACATATACCTCATGCTCAGGGATACATGCACGGGACCTTCGCAAAAACTGACCACGTACTGAAGCACAAAAACCTCACAAACTATGAAAAGCACAAGTGATACCCGCATTCTCTACTGACACAATAAATACTATCATCAACAAAGGATGTTTGGAGAAAGGATTCACATGCAAATAAAGACTCAGTCATTTAGAGAATCACAGAACAGAACAAGAGAAAAACCAATAATTCCATCAGAGAAAGTGACAACAATGAGACAAGGCATCCAAAAACTGTAGATTGTACCCATAGGGAAAAAATGGTATCTCTAAGCACTTTTACCAACAAAAGAAAAAGAATAGATCAATGGTATGCAAAATCATATTCATAACAAAGGAAGAGGAAATAAAGGAAATTATCGGAAACAATTTTGCCCCATTACATGTCAACAAAACCAATAGCTTACATGAAATGTAGGAATATTTACAGAAATAGAAAATGTTTTTGTTAGAAAAATTAGAAACACAGAATTTAAGCAGCCCCAATCTCTGGGGGAAAAAAATCAAACAAGCCAAAAATAAATGACCAAAGATGGGGAGGGGAGAAAAGGAGAAAATTCGGGACAAAATAGCTTTAAAAGTGAGAATAACATACACAATTACTGTAACAATGTATGTGGAAAGAACCAACACCACAAAACAATCAACCCCAAATGCTAAGTTTTGGTCGCCGACTGTGATGAAAAACCACTGTGCTGTAAGAAATGATGAGTAGGAACCTGGAAAGACTTACATGAACTGATGCAAAGTGAAGACAGCAGAACCAGGAGAGCATGCACGTGAAAGCAACATTGTAAGGATGGCTGACCATGAAATACTTAGCTACTCTGATCAAGACAATGATCCAAGACAAATCCAAAGGACCCATGATGAAAAATGCTGCCCACCTTAAAGAAAGAACTGATGGACTCTGAGTGCCGAGTGGAAGACTTTTTTCACTCTCTTTACTTTTCTTGCTTTTTCCCCCAAACATGGCTAATATGGAAATATGTGTTGCATGACTTCCCATGTTTAATTGATATTATATCGCTTGCCTTTTCAAGGGGTGGGGGAAGGGTGGTAGGGAGGGAGATAATTTGGAACTCACAATTTTTAAAAACCAATGTTAAAAATTTTTTGAAAAGCAAAGAAAATAAGAAAATTTTAAAAAGAAGAAAAAAACCTGAATGATACAAAATCATAAGGACCCAGCTTGGCTCCAAAGATGAGATATGAGAAGATGCCTCCCTGCCTCCTACTCCTTTGCAAAGGCTGGGGTCTAAAAGGGTGGGTGCAGGCAACCAGCAAGAGTTTTCATCTACCTTTCCTTCCTATTTCACTCTCTTCAAAGGCAAAGAGTCACCCAGTTAAAATAATTAGCTCATTTGATGCCTTAGGGAAAGTATAATGGCCACTCAAGACCCAGGTGGTTCCCTCCTCAGCTGCCTTAGGGAATTCTATCAAATGAAAGGTTAGGAATAAAATCACAATCATCCACAGCCCCCAGTAAGGACAATTCCTAACAATAAGACAGAGGTTTGGTTCCCTGCCTTAATTTGAATTTCTATCTCCAGCTAACCCATGGCCTTTTTAGTGGCTGAGGCAAATTCAGAATTCAGGATACTGGAAATGTTTGGTAGAAAGAGCCAGCCATTTCTTGGGACCCCCCCCAGTCCCTGGGGAGGCAGGACAACTACTGCCTTGAGCCTGAATCTTGCTCTCCAAGAAGCCTGGAGGGGCCAATGGCCTCCTTCCATCTCTCTCTCTTCCCTGCCCAAGATCAATCCTACCTTTCTTTCTCTTTCCATCTGTTGGCCCTTCTCTTTCCAGGTCTGTCCTTGGGATTCTGATTCCTTCCTCTCTCCTGACAGAGCCTTCAATCTCCAATTCTGATTTTATACAAACCCCACAGAGGCTTCAGGTCCTTCAGATGAAGGAAGAGGTGGGGTCAGTCACAGGGCTGAGAAGGGAGAGGGGTGGCAAGGATGAAGCTGGAGCCCCTAGGCTCCAGGAACCTAAGAACTGCACCAGACCTTCGGTTTAAACCAATTTAAACAGATCTGGCAAAGTACTTATACGTGTCGGTCTCACACCTCTGACTGGCTAATCCATGCAAGCTGTACGCTCATTTGATAGATGCATCAGGGCTAAGTGGGAAGAGGTTATTATTGGTTCAATCAATCCTCAGCCTTACAAAAAGATATTCCCCCCAAAAATCTCTTTTTAAAAAATGAATTGGAGCAAACATTCAAAGAACGATTAATTCCAATATTACATAAATTCCTGCTCTGAAACAAATGTGGTCATCATCTGACCTCAACCCACCTTTCCAGACATTACACACTGCTCCCTTTCTCACAATGGAGAGTCTATCCACACTCTTTCTGGAAGGAGAATAAATCAGAAAGAAACCAAAGTACAGAAAGACAACTACAGACCAACAAGAATATTGATGAATGAACTAGTGACTAAGAGCTCTGAGAGAGAAAAGCAGAACAGCTTAGTTCAGGAAACATGCTGAGTTCATTATCTACTTTTAGAAAAACTCAGAACATGGAGCAGAGATTCACCATTGGATCAACAATACACTGTCTGTGGATTCTTGTCAAGGTCAGCATATTAAAACTTTCACCCTTTTTTGATCAAGACAAGGATCCAAGACAATTCCAAAGGATTCATGACAGAAAATGCTATCCACCTCCAGAGAGAGAACTGAGGAACTCTGAATACAGATTGGAGCACATTTTTTTTTTCCTTTCTTTATTTTTCTGGGGTTTTTTTGGTCTATGTTTCTTTTACAACATGGCTAACATGGAAATATGTTTTGCATACCTATAATTGATATCAAACTGCTTGCTTTCTCAAGGAAGGGAGGAGGTAGAGGGAGGGAGAAAATTTAGAACTCAACATTTAAAAAAATGAATATTAAAAATTTTGTAGATGTAATTGGGAAATATGTAATGAAATAAATAAAAACCTACTGGGGGAAAAACCTACCTTTTTAAAATGAGTGACAGATAGAAAGGGAAGCAAGGCAGGATTATTCCCCAAGACGGTACCTAAGAGCCAGAGCACTTGGGGAGAGATGCACAGCATAGGGTGATGGGGGTAAAGAGGGATAACATGGGAGCTGAGTCAAGATCCCACAGGCCAGCAGAAATGGATAAGGAGTTTAGGTGCTGGGAAGGATACAGTTGGAGCTCTCTCCATCCATCCATGCCTTCTGGATTTACCTTAGGACCCATTTCATTCTTCCTCCAAACTTATTTCTGTCCTCCCCATCTCCCAGACTCCTCTGACTCATTTCCCCTTCCTTACCCAAATACCCAATCAGCTGCTAAATTGTATTCATTTCACCTCTACCCATTGGCCACAGCCTTTCCCATGTCTCCCCTGGCTCACCCCACACCAGTGCCAGGCTCTGGGCTATGCCCTGAGGATAAAAGAATGGCACAATCTCTCCTCTCAAGGGCCTTACATATTATTGGGGGAATTAATATGTACTTAAGTAAATACAAACTAAATATGGGATAATTTAGGGGGGAGGCATCAAGCCTTGACCATGGAGACTTCAGAACAGACATCCCAGTTAACTGAGTTATTGAACTCCCGTGGCTGATGGCTCCACTGAACTCCAGTAACAGCAGGGATATGGGGGCTGAAGGAGTGTGAGGAGCCTGTGCCCTTCCCTGTGGGGAGAAAGTTGGGGAGAACCATTTTGGATGCATCACATTCAAGATAGCTAAGGCAACAGACAGAACTAGAGCTCAGTAGAGACACCATTATCTACAGATCTCAGTGTCATCTATATAGAGGTGATCACTGAACCCATGAGGGCTGACGAGATCTCTGAGAGGGTAGAGAAAACAGGGCCCAGGACAGAACGTGGAACCCTCCAGATTTGCTGCTTTCCTCTCTGGTACTCTGAGTAAGGAGTCCTCAGCAAAGAAAACTGAGAAGTGGACTGACAGGTGGGAGGATCACCAAAGTATCTGCCCTTTTTTCATCGGAATCATTCTGAAATGCTGGCTGACACAGGGTGTACAACAGAGACTTTCCTCCAGGTCAACATCCTTTGGCCATCCCAAACCACTCAGAATCTACTCACTGCTACTGTGAGACGGTCCACGTTTCATCGGCAAAGCAGATGTGGTTCACATTTCCAACCATATTCTCCTGATCACCTAACCAGCTCAAACTTGGCCAGTGAGGCAGGTTTGGCCTCCAGTGAGGGAGATACTGAACTCCTCCAAGTGCCACACAGTAGCAGTTCTCCTCTCCCCAATCTCTCCCTTCTTTCCCATGATCACATTCTAACCTGTGATCTAGCCTACTCTAGGACAAGCTTTCTGCCTCCAGGTTCCTAGTGCCAAATGCAGTCCCTGGTATTTGATACCCCATGAATTAAACAGAATGCAAGGCACCCACTGGCCCTTTCTCCTCCCCCATCCCTGTCCTATAGCCCTCTACTGAATCCCATTACCCCTAGGGTCTCCAGACCTCCAGAGAGGTCCCAATGATGATGAGCAGATCTGCCATGGGGAAGTCAGCCATGTGCAGGAAGAACCTTTGTGGGAGCTGCTCTCCAAAGAAGACGATGTCAGGCTTGATGATCCCTGTGCAGATGGGACAGCAGGGGACCCTGTCTGCCATCACATCCACCTAAAAGAAAACTCAGCAAGAGAGTAGTCAGCATGCCCAACTTGCCAGGAAGGGTTTATCCTCCACCTGCGTCTGAGACAGCATCCAGCTCTCAAACGCCATTTCAACCTGCACCTGAATGAAAAGTCCCCATCTCTAGAAGGTCCAAAGACTGCCGTGAGACCAAAACGTGGTCAATCTGACATTGCTTAAGGATCGCTAATCGGGAGGACCCTCCATTGTTCTTGGTAACTTTTGCTCTGTTAGAAGCTCCTCCTGACCTCAAAGCCTCATGGGATTCTTTCCACCTTCCCCACCCTCTTCCTGGTCCTCCTCCCCCACACCCCACGCCTGACCACAGAAACTCCAAGTTGGAAGGAACCATCCCCTCTGACTCTTGGCTGGCAAGCAGCCCACCAGACTGCTTGAAATCCCCTCCCCTCCCTCCCCAGGTAGGCCTTTCTACTTTGGGTGATGTAATTGTTAGGAAGGTTTTCCTTCTATAGAGTCAAAACCACCAGCTGACAGATAGGGCCAGAATCTTAGAGGCTGGTCCCCTAGGCAGGCTATTGGTGTGATTCCAGCACAAAGTCTCCATCCTGGACAACTGGAGGCCAGGGGTTGGCCATAATAATGATTTATGGGGCCCTTTAAGATTCACAAATTGCTTTACAGACACAGTATTTTATCCCGTTTTATCTCATTTTATCCTTACAACAAGCCTGTAAGGTAGAGTCTATTATTAAGCCATGGAGACCAGAGACACATTGAAGGAAGGAATAACATGATGGGCTGACTGACTTGAAATGAGTACAGGTTTGTAACCTGGTGGGTAGAGAGGATGATGCTTCCTATACACTATGTATTTCATTCCTTCTCACTGCTTTCCTAATTCATGTTGACATGCTCTCCTGGGAACACAATCCCACTCCCACCACTCTGTCTGACATCATGGTCAGTCAGATTCCATGGTGGCTAGCTCCCACTTTCCCCCCAGCACAAGACTCCCTTATGTGGCTTCACCTCTTGGCCAGAGGGCCCCACTCAGCCCCACCTGTAAAAGCCCATCCTAGATATGCCTTCACAGTTTCCCCTTTTCCTAGTCTGATGGGCCAAAGGCTATCCCTGGAGCTTGATACTCCCCTCGACAGGAGCAGCTGGGTCCCCAGTTCCATCTCCTACACCCCTCTTCCTTTAGCCCATACCCTCAAGGCACCTACAGTCACTTACCTGAAATTCTTCCCCTGGAAATGACTGCTGGCAGACAGTGCAGGTGGCAGAGGCAAAGGTGCCATGGGCTTCCACCAGTTTTGTAGCAGGGATGCCAGCCGCTGCAATCCAAACGCAAAGAGGAGGTGAGGCGAGTCCACCCACACATACGCCCAGAGTCAGCACTGCCACCTCTGAACCCGGAGCTGTTGGCCAGGAAGGACCACATGTCCCTCCTTATGCCAGACGTTCTGCCACGCCCAGAGGGCCTGGGGTCTAACCCTAACCCCACCTGTGCAACACAGTAAGACACTGATGTGGGTAACCACAGAGAGCATAAAGAGAATTGACTGCCAAAGCTCCATACGGTTCATGAGACACAGGGACAAAAGGCAGATGGAATCCATTACCCACTCACCGTCATTCCCCATAATCTAATCAAAGGGGGCACCTGAGGTTCTAGAAGAAGAGGGAGAACATTCCAAGCATGGATGCCAGGCTGAGCAAAACAGGGACAGGAGACAAAATGGCGAGTTCGGGTACCAGTCAGCAGATGGAACATAAGAGTGAGTGAAGGGAAACAACGTGGCAAAACAGTGACAAGACGGGCCTTGACCTTGTGCAAACAGAGAACGAGTCGGGATTTTTAAGTGATTTGGGGAGAATACTATGTCAGCTATATCAAGGACAGACCAAGGAAGAGCAAGGCTGCCAGGCGGCTGGGGCCCCACAAGAGGGCTGGCTGCGTGACCGCTAATTCTAAGTTGTTGTGGCCAAAGAAAGGCCAATACCCAGCAGCTGACTAGGTATGGTAGTTGAGGAAGAGGGTAGTGGTAAGGCCAGCTTGGAGGTGGCAAACCTGGGTGACTGGAAGGATGGTGGTGCCATCCATCAACCTGTCCACCAACATTCATTAAGCACCTACTGTGTGCCAAGCATTATGTTAGGTATGAAGGATACAAGTACCAAAAAAAATTCCTGCTCACCAGGTGGAGTAGAGTGGTGGGGGGCCGGACCCAGTGCTATCTGATCTGGATGTGTAGAGCCTGCGATGCCTCCAGAACATCCAGGCAGAGAGTCTAGAAGGCAAGTGGTGATGAAGGAGACACATCCATGGATTTGGAAAAGTGCTGCTCAGATCACCAAGGGAGAAAGTGTGGCGGGAGATGGAGAAGAAAGACCAGCTTGGAGAAGCTCCCCTAGCCAGTGGTCAAGAGGAGGACAAACCAGCAAAGCAAACAGAGAAGAGGGGTGAGAGGCAGGAGAACCACAAGAATGCAGTGCAAGAAAGCCGAGGGAAGAGACAGAACCAGGAGGAGGAGGCAACGGGGGCAGGGTGCTTGGCACATGAGAAGAGGCACTGGGCTCATTAGTGACCCTAGAGGGTGGTCTCAGTCCAGTGATGGATCAGAATGAGCCAGATCGTGAAGGGTAGAGAGGCAATCAGGAGTCTGTGAAAGGGAGAAAAGATGAAGGAGAAAGAAGGCACAGGAAAGAGGAGAGAGGAGGATCAGGGGATAAAGAGAGGCTGAAGCTCAGCAGGCTCCACCCTAAAGGAAATGGAAAGGGGTGAGCTCAGGGGCACAGGGGGAGGAGCTGGCCTAAGCACAAAGGGCCCCCTCCTTCCTCAAAGACAAGAGCAAAAGAGAGAGGATGGGGTGATGGTAAGGAGATAGAACTGAAAGAAGATACTCAAGGCAAATGGCCTGTTTTCTTGGCCAAGGTGTGAGGCCAGGTCCTTGGCTGAGGATGGGAGGTGGCGCGGGGGGGCTGGAGGAGAGCAGGGTGAGCCGGACCCAGAAGCCGACCAGGGGAGAGTGAAAGGAGTTGGGCCATATCAAGGAAAGGCCCCGGTGAGCTTAGATAACTTAACGTGCAGCACTGTTTCATGGCCGTGCCCTGGAAAGAGCAGAGGTCAGTGGTGGGGGTGACCCTGGGATGAAGGCTGACAGAGCAAGGGGGAAAGGAAGGAAGGAAAGGTAGCTGGCAGCCGCAGGAGAAGGGAAGACGACCTAAAAATGGAAGGATGAGGGGTGACTCCTGTGTGTGTGTCAAGGAAGCTGGGCAGACTGAAGAACTGGGTGTCTAGGGGACTTCCCACACAGGATCTGGAGGCCCAGAGGCCATCTTCACTGGTGACTTCACCCACGGGCTGGCCAGGGTAGCAACAGCTGTTTTGGGAGGTTTCTCTTTTTCCCAGCATTCTTGAGTCTTTCCATGAGAAAGGAGAAGGAACTGGGCCCTGGAGTTTTTTCCCTCTGCCTGATCTCATTAACCATTCACTGTCCCTGGCCGTGTCTACCCTGGGCACACAAGAGAAGAAAGCCAGGGGACAGACATGTGGGAGGGCCCACACTGTGCCAAGAGGCAGCTGCCTGGGGAGCATCAGGGGAAAAGCCGCACTCACCTCTCTCGAGTCCATCAATGTTCTGAGTGTAGAGCCGCAGAAGCAGCCCCTTGTCATGAAGCAGGCGGAGGAAGTAGTGGGCCAGGTTGGGCCTGTAGTTTCCGGGATACAGCTCCTTGGCCAAAGCAAAGAAGGGCTTGGGGTTGTGGAAGAAGTAGTCCAGTTCAAATATGGCTTCAGGGTAGGGGAGGTCATACTGCTCCAGGTTGCTATAAAGGCCACTCCCTGGAGACCTGAGGAGGGCAAAGAGCCTCAGCCTCCCATGGCAAGACCCCGACCCAGAGGCAGAGGGCCCAGAGTGAGAGCCAGGGAAGGAAGGAGGCAGAGAAAAAGGAGGGTGAGGGCATTCCTCACCTGAAGTCTGGGATCCCGCTGGGGGTGCTGATCCCAGCACCCACCATGACCACCACTCTGTGGCAGGCTTTGGTCCGAATCAATTCCGCTATGTCCTGCAAGGAGAGCTTCTCTCCTCCACGGTCACCTCCTGCTCCACAGCCACCGAAGGCCCCCACAAAGAGACAATCGCGCCCTGGAAGACCCAGGAAGCTGGGGGCAACAGAACAATGAGGGCTCATCCCACACACTCCCACATCCCCTCTCCGCCACCAACTCCGTCTCCAGCAATCTTGCCTGATTTTTCCATGGTTCATGGCTCCATGACCTCCCTTGGGATGGTCACACAGATAGTGTGAGATAATGGAGGTCCTCTCCAGACTACGGCTCACGGAGGGGTAAGCAGATGCAAGGGACAGAAGGTTCCCCCTTCCTGGATGGGACAGTCCAGGTACTCAATGCAGTCATCTCCATGTTTCACATTAGAAGGGAATTCTACAGATGCCTCCCCATGAAAGCAGAGACTGTCTTTTGCCTCTTTTTGCATGCCTACTGGTTAGCACAGTGCCATAGTAGGCACTTAATAAAGGAAATTTTAAAAGGAATGTAAAGCCCTCAATACGGAGCTGCATAGTCCAGGAAAAGAAATTCCCACATTGGCCATATCTGAAAATGAATGGATCTCTATGCATTTTATGTTCAACACCTCTCTGTTAGGAGATGAGTGAATTATTTCAACTTTTTTTTTGGACTCATGATTTATCTTTACATTAATCAATTCTAAAATCTTTCAAATTTGGTTTTCTCTATAACGTTGTCATCATTAAATAAATTATTCTCCTAGCCCTGCTCACTTCACTTTACATCAGCCCACAGAGGTTTTCCTAGTTTCCTCTGAAGCCATATTTTTTATCATTTCTCAGAATTTATTACATTCATGTACCACAATCTGTTTAGTGATTCCCCAATGGGAAGACATCAGCTCAGTTTCCAATCTTGTGAAAAAAGTTCCTATGCTTTTGTACACATAGGCCCTTTCCTCTAATTTCTCTGGGGTATCGGAGTAGGAGCTGGGACAAAGGGTATGCATGCATATTTTGGTAACTTTTCTGCCATTCTTTCCAATTGCTTTCCAGGATGGCTGGGCCAGTGCATAGTTTTGTCAACAGCACATTAGGATGCCTGGTTTCCTGCAGCCCCTCCTCCTTTGATCATTTCCCTCATTCGTCATCTTTGCTGCTTTACTTTGCATGTCTTTTTTGCAATTTTTTTTGCAAGAATTTGCAATTCTTTTTTCATATGGTTGCTGACTGCTTAGATTTCTTCCTTTTAAAACTGCCTGTTCATATCCTTTGACCATTTATCTACTAAGGAATGGTCCTCAGTTTTACCAAATTTGAATCAGTTCCTTATAGTGGGGACGTGAGACTTTTATGAGACAAAGTTGCTACAAAGGTATTTTCCCCATTTATCTGTTTCCCTTCTGATTTTTTTCTTGGTTTGGGTTTTTTTTTAGGCAATTGGGGTCGAGTGACTTGCCCAGGGTCACACAGCTAATAAATGTCAAGTGTTTGGTCTGAGGCCACATTTGAACTCAGGTCCTCCTGACTTCAGGGCCAGTGCTCTATCCACTGTATCACCTACCTGCCCCAGTCCCTTCTGATTTTTACAACATTAGATTTGCTCGGGCAAAAACTTTTTAATTATATATAATCAAGGACCCATTTTGTCTCGTGTGATCTTCTTTCTCACTTGGTTAGTGATATCCACAGATCTGAAAAGTAATTTCTTCGTGCTCCTCTAATTTGTATATAATATGGACACGTGACCTTTCATATCTAAGTCACACATCCATCTGGCGCCTCTCTTGGCATACAGTATGAGCTGTTGGTTTCACCTTCACTTCTGACAGACTGCTACCCAATTACCTGCACAGGTTTTGTCAAACAGTAAGTCTTTCCTCCAGTAACTTGGGCCTTTGGGTTCATCAAAAACTAAGCTGCTGTTTGGTATCTTCTGTATGTTTTGTACCGATTGACCTCAGGGTTTTGTTTTTTTTTAACCAATACCAAGTCATTTTAGTGATTACTGCTTTGTAGTAGAATTTGAGAACTGGTATTGATAGACTCCCTTCTTTCTCATTTTTTTCTATTATTTCCTTTGAGATTCTTGACCATTGATTCTTCTCTCTGATGTCTGTTATTGTCTTCCCAGCACTATAAGATGTTCTTTTGGGAGTCTGACCAATACAGCACTGAATAAGGAAATTAATTTAGATAGTATTTTCATTTTTATAACATTTGCTCAACCTACCTATAAGCAATTAATGTCCCTCCAAATGTTTAGGTTTGTCTTTATTTCCACAAAATGTTTTATAGTTGGATTCATAAAGCTCCTGGTTGAATCTCAACAGATACACCCCCAAATATTTTATGCTTTTGATCATTATTTTGAACGGAATGTCTCTTTGTAACTCTTCTTGCTGGGTTTGGTTGTTTCTATACAGAAATACTGAGGATTTACGTGGATTTATTTTATACCTTGAACTTTTGCTGAAGTTATTGTTTCAATAATTCTTTTTTCTTTTTTATCTATACAGAATCTTTATTCAATTTTATTTTATTTTCAGGTCCACATTCTTTCGGGCCCCTCATCCCTTCCTCCATTCCCCCACAGAGAAAGCAAGATAAACAAACCTCATTATAAACATTAAGTTCAGTAGTTAAGCATAACAATTTCCCATATTGGCCATGTTCAAAGGAAAAACATGTTTCAATCTACATCAAGTCCATTACCTTTCTATCTGGCAATGGACAGTATGTTTCAAGAGTTCTTAATATCTGATTGATTACTGTCTCAGAGGGAAGTGGTGGGGGGGGCCTCCAGGGAGAGGAAAGTAGGGATAGAATTTGGAACTCAAAACTTTTAAAAATTATTTTAACATGTAATTGGGGGAAAATAATGTGTATGTGTGTGTGCATAAAAATAAGAGTTCTTGTGGTTGATCATTGGGTTGATCACAGTTACTAAATCTTTCAAAGTTGCTTGTCTTTACAATATTATTGGTATTATATAAATTGTCCTCCTGGTTCCGCTGACTTCACTTTGCATCAGTTCATAATGGTTTTCCCAGGCTTCTTCGAAACTACCCCCTTCATCATTTCTTACAGCATAAATAGTATTCCACCAAATCATATTCTGTAACTTTTTCAGTCATTCCTCAATTGATGGGCACCCCATATTTCAATTAATTCTTATTTGACTCTCTAGGGTTCTCTGAGAATACTACCATAGTATCCAAAAAAAGCTGTAATTGTTTCCTCTCTGCCAATGTTTATTCCTTCCATTTCTTTTTCTTGTCTTACTGATAATAAGGTTAGAGTCAAGTAACATTTCTAGTATAGTTTACTAAATATTAAACAGTAATAATAATGGGCATCCTTGCTTTATCCCTGATCTTATTGGAAAGGCCTCTAATTTTTCTCCATTACACATATTTGCTCTTTGATCTAGATAAATATTATTATGTTAAGGAAAAGTCCACTTATTTCTGATTTCCAGTTTTTAAGAGAAATAGGGTTAAAATTTTGTCAAGTCTTTTCAGCATCTATTGATATAAACATATGGATTTATTGTTATTGTTTATTATATTTATACTCTTCCTTATGATGAATCAACACTATATAAATCCAACCTGGTCATGGTATATAATCTTCTATGCTGTCATAGCCTACTTGCTAATATTTTGCTTAAAATTTTTGAATCAATGTTCATCAGTGATAGTGGTCTGTTATTTGCTTTGTCTCTCCTTGGTTTAGGTATTAAGACCATATTTGTATCAGAGAAAGAACTGATAAACAGAAGTATGTATAGAATAATTTTACACATATATACACCTATTTGTGTCTAATGGTAGCCATTACTGGGGGGGAGAGTGAGAAAAAAAAAGGAAAAAAGAGAAATTTATATAACTGTTGTATATTTGGAGGGAATAGCAAGCTGTACATGGTAGATTTGCAGCTCCATGTGTAATCATCTTTTTTATTCTGTTATAGAAATGCTTGTTTTGTCCCATGAATTGAAAATAAATTAAAGAAAAAAGATATTGGAAGGGTGCCTTCTTATTACAAACAGTTTTGTAGTATTGATTTAATTGTTCTTTGAATGTTTGATAGAATTCACCTGTAGATCCATCTGGTCCCTGTGTTTTATCTTTAAGAGTTCATATATGCATGTTCAATTTGTTTTCTGATACTGAGCTATCTAAAGTCTATCTCCTCTTTTATTAATGTAATTAAACATTCAGTTACTGTTATCTTTCATTTCTGATATGAACGATTTCGTGTCCCTCTTTTTTTAAAAATCACATTAGCTGTTCATTTTATCAGATGTTTTTTAAAAAAAAAACCACAGCTGATAGCTTTATCAATTTTTTTTGCTTTTGCTTTCAATTTTATTATACTTTTCTTAATTTTCATAATTTCTGTTTTGTTTCTTATATGGGGATATTTGATTTGTTCATTTCTTTAAATTACTGCACGATCAATTGATTTGTTCTTTCTCTCTATTGCTAACGAAAGTGTTTACAGATCTAAATTTCCCCTCAGAATTGCACTAGCCACATCCGCTAAGTGCTGCTATTGCATCATTGCAATTTTCTTGGATGAAAATTTTCCATAATTTGTTGACAAAATTTTCTCAAATTATGTTGTTTAATCTCCAATTATTTTTTTCTTCCTTTAGGAGATCTTTATTGAATTTTTTATTATATTGTGATCAAAAAAATATTTAGTATTTCTACTTATCCATTTCTTTTTGCCCCAATACATGGTTAATTTTTGTAAAGATGCCATATACAGCTGAGTTATATAAATTCCTATCTATTCCCACGCAGTAATCACCAGATTCAACATCTCTAACTTTTCTAAAATTCTGTTCAAGTTTTTATCTTCTTGGTTATCTTTTGGTTATATTGGTCTAGGTCTAAAAGGTTTACATTAGTCCCCCATTATCTAAATTTCACTATTTATAACTAAATTGGACTTCTCCTGTTCAATTCAATTAATTTTTCCTTTATTTAGTTGCTTTGCTTTTCAGTGAAAGAGAATATATTATATACATATGTGATACATATATATACATATATATACACATACATACACATACCTATATATCTACCATTGATACTTTTTCATTAGCTATGGTACCTTTTA